CTCTTTAATTGCCTCTGATCCCTCACTTTCAGTAAGACATCGCAGATAGGCGCCCGAATGCGACCTTTTGTACAACACCCCCTCGACTATGGCACATCGGGCTGCTTTTCGCCGTAGGCGCCATGCTTCTTTTGGGTCCTCAGGCACCGTTCCTTGGGTTAGAAAGAGCCATATTGGAGCCATCCATCCCCCCCTTTCTCCTGCTGCGATAGAGGCCATCACCATTTCCTCGTGCGGTACCTCCTTCGTCACAATCACCGTTCGATCTTCCTCAAAATCCAGGGCCGTTGCTAATTTGGATAAGGCGTCTGCATGGGCATTCTCCTCCCTTGGAACATGTGTGAACGTTACGCCTCGGAACCACGCACACTTTTTGCGGATGGCCTCCACGTAAACTCCTAATGTTTCCTCCTTCACCTCATACACCTCATTCAGCTGATTAACCACCAATGCCGAATCGGTTTTGATACTCACCTTTTGGGCGCCCAGCTCTCTCGCGATGTGAAGTCCCGCAAGCACAGCCTCATACTCAGCAGCATTGTTTGTTTTTAAGGTCGCGAACCGTAACGCCACTTCGTGTAGGGCGCCCAGTGGACTGATGAGTACCACCCCGGCCCCTGCGCCTATCCTACTTGCAGCTCCGTCGACATGCACTTGCCAGCATTCTTCCCCGCCTGCTCCCCCATCAATCACCCCTTCGGCCAAGAAATCTGCCAAGGCCTGAGCCTTGATGGCGGGACGGGGCGCATAGGTTATGTCAAACTCGCTGAGTTGCACGGCCCATTTTACCAGGCGCCCAGACACATCCATTGACCCTAGTACCGTCTTGAGAGGAAGATTTGTGAGCACCACTATGCGATGGGCTTGGAAGTAAGGTCGGAGTTTGTTGGCTGCCATTACGACCGCCAACGCCGCTTTCTCTATAGGCGCATAGCGCGTCTCATGACCCACCATGGTTCGGCTCACGTAATACACTGGTTTTTCTTCGTTCGTCAAGGGGTCCTTGGATATGAGGACTGCACTCACGGCAATTACAGACACGGCTATGTATAGGAACAACACCTCCTTGGCCTTGGGCGCCGTCATCACCGTGGGCGCTGTGAGCAATTTCTTCAATTCCTCGAAAGCTTCATCACATTCGTTGGTCCACTTGAACTTGGTAGCTTTTTTCAATATTTTGAAGAAGGGGGCGCCCCGGTCAGAGGCTCTTGGGATGAAGCGCCCAAGCGCCGCCAATCTCCCTGTCAGGACCTGCACCTCCTTAGGCGTTCGGGGGTGACCCAGACTCATGATCGCCTCAACTTGCTTGGGATTAGCCTCAATTCCCCGCCTCGTTATCATGAATCCCAAGAACTTTCCCGCCTCGGCCAAGAATACACACTTCTTGGGATTAAGCCGCAACCGGAAGTGTCGCATCGTTTCGAAGGTTTCTCGCAAGTCCGTGATGTGGTCCTGGCGCCTCTTGCTCTTCACAATCAAATCATCCACATATGCCTCCACATTCCTTCCTATTTGCTTGCGGAAAATCTGATTCACCATACGTTGATATGTTGCCCCGGCATTCTTCAAGCCAAACGCCATCACTCTGTAGCAGAAGTTCCCAAAGGGTGTCATGAAAGCTGTCTTTGCCACATCCTCCTTTGCCATAGGGATTTGATGGTAGCCCGAGAACATGTCAAGGAAACTAAGCGCTTCGTGATAGGCGGTGGCATCTACAAGCAAGTCAATACGTGGCATGGGGTATGCATCAGTGGGGCACGCTCGGTTAAGGTTGGTGAAGTCCACACACATCCTCCAATCCCCCGACGGTTTTGGGACGAACACCACGTTAGAAAGCCATGTGATGTACCTTGCCTCTTCTACAAATCCTGCTTCGAGCAATCTATCAACCTCTCGGCGGAGCGCCTCCTCCTTTTCTTGGGACAAGTTTCTGCTCTTTTGTTGCACGGGCTTTTTCCCTACTTCCACCGCAAGCTTGTGCACCGCCACATCCGGAGAGACGCCGGGCATATCCTGGGCGCCCCACGCGAATAACTCCCCAAATTCTTTCAGCAGCTCGATCAGAGGCGCCTTCATCACTTCAGGTGCTTGTGCCGAAATTCGCACTTGCCTCTCCGGACGCCCTTCGTCTAAGGCTACCACAAGCTCATCGTCCAAGGCTTCCGCCCTGGGCGCCTCCTCAGGGCGGATGTCGATAGTGCTGACCCTGTGTTTGCGAACGCGACACTTTGGGTCTTCTTCTCGGGCGTAACGTGGAACGTTTCTTCCCCGGGAAATGCCTATGCCCTGGGGTGCCACAAACTTCAGCGTCTGGTGACAAGTGGACGCCACACCATTGAATTGAGCTAATAGCGGACGACCCAGTATCACATTGTAAGGCGATGGGCAATCCACAATCCCAAATTCCACCGCATGCGTCACACAATGTGTCTCATCTCCAAGGGTCACCGGCAGGCGCACGCGTCCGATGACCTGGGCTGGTGCACCGGAAAACCCAACCAAAACCGAACTTGAGGGACGTACCAATTCAGGCGCTAGTTGCATGCGCTCAAACGTGCTCTTGAAGAGGACGTCCATTGAACTGCCAGTGTCGACTAACATCCTTTTCACTTTACAACCTGCTATCACTCCATGTATCTCCAAAGCTTCTTCTGACGGGATTTGACACGCTTCGTCCGGCTCCTGATTGAAGTTGATTTGCACCGCTGCCCTTGCTTCAATTGATGCGGATCTCAGGCGCCTGGACCTTTCCAACTTCTCCCTCAAGTCTACTGTGCCGGTAATGGATTCAACGGTGAGCCTGATGCGCCTCGGCTCTCCCTCCTGGTCCACTTCAAACGGGGGTGGCGGTATAACTGGCTCTTGTGGGGTCTTCGGCCTTTCGGGCGCCTCATGGGTCCTCTGGGCTTCAGGCGCCTTTGCGCTCCTCGTGACCTCCGGCGCCTGCCTCGTCACGTACGTCCGGTGGGTCCTGTCTTCCACCCTCCTAACAAAGTCATTTAGCATGCCCTTGTCGGCTAAAGCCTGCAATTCGGCTTTAAGTTGGTAGCAGTCGGCCGTGTAGTGCCCTTTGTCACGATGAAAGTCGCAATACCTATCAAGGTTCTTCTCGTTTGGTTGGCCGCGCATGGGCCCCGGCCACCGTATGTGGTAGCCCCTATCCTTCACGTACTGTAGCACATTCTTCAGCGTATCATTGTATTCCGTAAAATTGACCGAGCTTCTAGGCATGGGGCGAGGCGCCTCAGTTCTTCTTTGCGGACCAAAATTCCCAGATGGCACCCGGGGCGCCTGCCTCGCCTCCAATTCGTCACCCCTCAGGCGCCTCTTTTCTGCTCTCCGCGCCGCCAACGTCTCTTCTAACATGATTACCTTCTGCACTCTTCGGTCCAGGTCTTCTGTGGACACCACATCCCGCTTAGAAAGGACTCGACAGAGTTCTTCGCTCGAGGTGCAGGCGTCTAAGCAAACCCCCAGTACCGCCGGTTGGACATCCTTGACCGCCATGGCTACAGAGATCCACCGATCGTAAAATTCTCTAAGCGCCTCCCCCTCCCTCTGCTTCACCTTGAACAAGGCGCCTATGGTCAGTGTCCGACGCTTCCGACTCGCGAATTTTGACAAGAATAACTCCGCAAACTGCTCAAAACATTCGATGCGCCCCTCTTCGATTTGATGGTACCAATCCAATACTACGCCTGCAAATGTGGAGGGGAACACCTTGCATAACGTGGCGTCTGAGCTGTTGTAAAGTTGCATCTTCGTGAAGTAGCTGTTCAAATGATCCTCTGGGTCCGCCACTCCGTCGTAACTGGGTAACGGGGGAATTGTGGTTCCCGCCGGCTCCAAAAGGATGCTTCGCGCCAACGGCTGCCGGACTCCGAACCGCCTGGCGATTCTTCTAGGCGCCCACAAGTCTTCTGGCTCCGCCTGGGTATGTTCAGTAGGCATTTTCCAGGCGCGTGAACGCCTTGGTACGTCATGTCCCTGATCAGCTTGATACGGGAGCCCATGCTGCAATGACTCCGAATCCTCCCCCATCCTTTCTCGCTTCCTAGCTCCTGAGCTATACATCATCACATCCTCACTTCGCTCCCCATCTAACTCCCTTCTGAGCGCCGCAATGGCCCGATCCTGGTCGGCTATGATTCGAAATAGCTCTCTCTTCGTCAAAGATTCTCCCTCGTCCGCCGATAGGCGCCCGGGGCTCGCTTCCCCATCCACCTCCATGCTCAACTCCCGGCTCGGTTGCCGCTCGCCCTCCTCGTGACTCGAGTTATCCAACCTCGAAATGTCCTCCCCATCGTTCGCGACGTTCAAGTTTTCCATGCGCCCCCTTCCTGGCGCGCCAATTGTTTGTGCCCGGTTACCTTTCGTCCCACCTCGCTAGACCACCTCCCTTTCCTTCACCTCCAAGGCGCCCAAACCCTGCAAGGACAAGCGCCTAAAGGGCTTTGGTTCGCCCGTTAGCACTCCAACGCTCAAGTTAGAAGCGAATCTAGAGAGAGAAGTGTAAGTCGGGTTTTAGTGTGAGAAGCCAACCTGCGTAAATGCTACCTACCGAGTACTATTTATACTCGTTGAGGACCCGACCAGGCTCCTGGAATCATGCTCCACGTCAGCGCGTCATTTAATGCTTGGTCGGTCCAACGGTCGGGTATTTCCACGTGGCATCTCCCAGACCTCGGCGCCCAGGCGCCCGGCAGGACCACCTTTCCAGGTGGCGCGTTCTCCTCTTCCTGACTCCTAGGCCACCTGGTCCCCGCATCTACTTTTGTCGTTACGCGCCCCCTCCTTCGCGACTGGGCTTTTCCTCCTCTCTTGTTACCCACTCATGCTCCTAGTTGGGTTTGGGGCCCAACTATACCTTCTGGGCTCATGTCCCTCACTGATTTAGTCTATGTGCCTATATCCAACACTTCTTAATTGGGCTTGGGCTCCTATCCTACCTTCTGAGCTCATGTCCCCCACTGACTTGATCCATGGGTCTATACCCAACAAGTTGCATTATTTTTTTACAGCAAAAAGCAAAATCGATAAGCCAAAACGTGCTAGAATGCACAGTTCTTCAGCTGTTGAACAGCCTTATAAAATTAAGGTCTTTGGCAATTGACATTGCACAGACCATTTGCTCATACCATCAAAGCAGCATTCTACACCATGCTACACCAGATGGCACATATAGTCCATTGTCCAGACTCGGATTACGGATCCCGCCGTGACATATGGTGAGTGTTACACTATACAAAACTCCACAAAGCAGGAAAAAAAAGGTGTACATCAACGGCTGCGGATGATTCTCATACACAAACTAGGAAACAACTTGGAGTAGCGGTGTCATTTCACTGCCCAAGGGTCCATAAATCATGAGACGACAAACACCCTGAGCTCGCCACGGTCCCCTCTAGTGATCCGAGTGTCGCCATCGAGGAAGGTGACCTCAAAGTCTCCAGACCCCGGGTTTGATGGAGGCCTCAGAGCCTCTGGTAGCTTAGGGATGTCCAGCGGAGGAAGCTGATTCAAGTTACCCGTCGTCTTCACTGTTGTTTTCTCAAAGTTGATTTTGATCTTGGCCGATCCTGTTCATAATCATGATACAAGTAGAGGAAACTGGGTTCAATATTCTGTTCTGTATCCAATCACTCAGCGATTAACATAAGTTACCAACAATTAGTGGGACTGAGGTAACTAAGAAGCTGAACAGCCAAGTCTAACCTATGAGTTCGAACTTGTGGGCTAAAGTTGCAGTCAAGTCAACTGGTGGCAATGGCCATGGAGCACCCAATTGAAGCTCAGCTATGTTGTCGAAATCTCTGCTCACGACGTCTATCCGTTGGAAAACCTGTGTGCAGAAAGCAGGACAGCTTCAAACTCAAAAAAAGTGCCAAAAGGATAGTCAACCATTCATTCATATATCAATCAACCCAAAGAGATATGAACGAACACAGACTAGATTGAACGCTACCTGGCCAAGAGTGACGGGTAGCAGTCTTCCAGTGGGGATACCAGGACGGCTTCCGCCGAGGGTTCGAGAAGAGAATGCGCTGCTGTAAACAAGCTTCCATCTCCCTTGCAGCTTATCCAAGTCACATGCGAGGTCCACTAGTCCTCCTGCATCTTCAAGCTCCTTGGCTGCAGCTTCTGCCTTCTTTAGATCATCTTCAGTTGCAGCAAGACCCCGGTTGAGCCCAGAAACTACACCCTGCATTGTAATCAACACAAACACACAATTTCGGCTGAAAGAAACCCAAGGAAACTTCCCAATGGAAACACAGGCATATCTACATTTCAAATACCTACTGCCTAAATGTATAGGCTGTTCCTTCGTTCTCACTAAGTTTCCGAAAGACACAGGGGACAGAACTGACCAAATGAAAGGTGAGCCCTAATTATCTGATACCGAAATGGTGAAATCAAGCATGAAATCGGAAAGCTGAACCCCTACCCACAAACTCAGTTAAACCTAACAAGCAACAATAACAGGAACATGTGTGCGGCAACTAACAAAGTAAAACCTAAACCAATTCAGGGATTAGCGGATACGTTCATCGAAGCAATCGGAAGAATTCAGAATCGCTAAGCGATGGAATTCACAAGAGATTGAAGAACGAACTATAAAAGATATGGGGCAAGGAATTGGCCGGACTCAGGAGAAATGAAAAACTCACCAGCAATTTGAGCTTCAAACAGTCGATACGTTCAGCGCTGCTAGCAGGAGGGCGGGCGGGCGGCGGTGGTTCGAGGACGTAGGTGTCTTCAAGGGCCGATCTCAGAACAAAGCTCCCCCTCGTCCTCTTCGGACGGCAAGAGCTGACGGCGGGAAGACGGTGGTTTGTGTGTCGAGAAAGGGAGGGAGCTAGTCTCGATTCGGTCGAATTTCTGGCGTGGATCGAAGACCCAGAGGAAGAGCAAGAGCACAGCGACGGAGGGTAGAGCGAGCTCAAGGAAGCCATGGCTGTTCGGCGTGGCGGGTGTTTCGGTGCCCCGGGTGAAACTGGAAATCGGGAAGGCTCGAGAGGAGGAGAAAAGTTCAATTTGGAGAGTGGAGGAGTAATTTTGTCATGTGGGATCATATGGACCGACGAGTGACGAGAACCAATAGCGGCACCCTGGTGAGACCACGTGGCTGTCTTGTTGACACGTGGAGACTCCAAGATCAAGCCATGGAGATATACTGGGATCGTCAAGGAATCGAAATTTATACTTTTTTTGCTTAATTTTAGGACAGACAGTCGACAGTATATGTATATCTGTGGCTTTTCCGCAAAAATAATGGGTAAAAATTATAAGAGTGTGTTTTGGAATGTGGATAGAAGCATTTGAATTTGAAGAGCACCATCTTGTTCCAGATTAGCATAAGGATGAACCGAGTTTTTGATTGTCTCAATACGAGATTTTGTGCGTCATGGCAGCGTACTTTGGTGGTCCGGCTCTTACGAACTAGTTACTCTTTTACAACTTTAAGCAATAAGATCCGAGCACAATGACGACCCTCCGACAACCTGGAGATTTTGGGACAAGGGCAAAATGTCTTCTTGGTGAAGTTAAGCAATGAACATGACTATTTTCGTGCTCTCACGGACGGACCTTGGACCATATTTGATCATTATCTGATAGTTCAACAATAGACTCCAGCTCTATGCCTGAGAGACGAACTCCCGAGATGGATGGTTGTGTGGGCCTAACTTCCAACGTTCCCAATCCATTTATATCACAAGGAGGTTCTCTTCGCGTTGGGCAATTTGATTGGACGTACAATAAAGATAGATTATCATACAAAACATAAAAAACGTGCCAAGTACGCCCGAATTGCTGTTGAAGTAAACCTGTCCAAACATCTAATCCCCCAGATCTGGCTCAATGGAGCTTGGCAATACTTGGAGTACGAAAACTTACCACCGGTCAGCTTCGAATGTGGCAGAGTGTGACATACCTCAACTACGTGCCCATCCCTCACACCGGTTCACATTCCAAATAGCGCCGACATGTCCTCAGTTTATTTGGAGACGATGTCGACTTATCTTTGTATAGAACAAATATTGGAAAACTAGATATCATCATGATTCATGAATGATATCTGTACAATATGACTGCAGTAAAATGCAGGTTTCAAAGAGGATATTGGTTTAAATTTCATGAGAGTGCTTCATGGACATCTGAGGTTGTAAGGGGGAGCCAGAGTTTCCTTTAATAATATTGTTTGAGTACGTAGTTCTACCATCATTCCGTTGTAGTCTAGTTGGTCAGGATACTCGGCTCTCACCCGAGAGACCCGGGTTCAAGTCCCGGCAACGGAAAGCATGATCTTTTGTTGCCATCTTTTGACAACAGATCAAGGTTGGGAATAGGGGGAATGGTAGTATGGGCATGGGCCATTATGCAACTTTAAATCTGGACCAAAATCCAGGCCCATTAATATCTTTTTCATACCGTTTGAGAAACTGACAACTCTAGTATGTCATCCTAAAATAATGTTAAGGGTCGTATTTCACATGACCTCATGGGCCATTCTGCAACTTTAAATCTGGACCAAAATCCAGGCCCATTAATATCTTTTTCATACCGTTTGAGAAACTGACAACTCTAGTATGTCATCCTAAAATAATGTTAAGGGTCGTATTTCACATGACCTCCTACAATGTCTCTACTTTAGAACAACTACTAGTGTTTTCAGTATCTAAGTGGGATTGAGGTGCCCTCAGTGTTAATTCTACTACTAACATATAGCAACGAAAAACATGATCTTTTGTCGCCATCTTTTGACGGCAGATCAAGGTTGGGAATACGGGGAACGATAGTATGGGCATGGGCATCTATTGGGATGGGTCATTCTGCAACTTTAAATCTGGACCAAAATCCAGGCCCATTAATATCTTTTTCATACCGTTTGAGAAACTGACAACTCTAATATGTCATCCTAAAATAATGTTAAGGGTCGTATTTCACATGACCTCCTACAATGTCTCTACTTTAGAACAACTACTAGTGTTTTCGCTATCTAAGTGGGGTTGAGGTGCCCTTAGTGTTCATTCTACTACTAACAGATAGCAAAGGGAAACTAGATTTACAAGCACTGAAGTGCATAAAGTAAAACAAGTGAGGGAATAAGTAACGAGTAAAGTGTGTTGTAGGGAAGCATGAAGTAAGTGCATTGTTCTGGGTAGTTTCACCTAGAGTGACTAACTAATGATCTAACTATCAATATATCTTTTAGAAGTTTCTGATGAGTACATGCCGGCTGGAATTGAGCTAATGTTCAAGGAATATGGTTGGGCCGAAGGTGATTATTGTTCTTTCTTAGTTAGTACGTTACATGGGTTGATTAATTATGGGTCCAGGGGGTTTACGTAGCTAATATGTGGTTGAGTAATATAGTTAGGTGGTCTTTTACCTTTTGGGTTACGTAATGGGCTAGGAGTTAGCTTGGGTGTTGGCCGAGAGGCCTAAGGGAATTAGGAGGGTTCGAGTTAGCTAGGGTTACGTATTAGGTTTAGTTGCTCATATATTGTAATCACGACATTAGTCCGGGGAACCAATCAATAATAAACCTAAAATAGTTGATAGACCAATAATTACACATGTTTTCACCCCTATTCTGAAGCCGTTTGAGATGTTGATTCTCGTGTTTTAAGCCGATTTCACGCTAGGTTGTGTGTTTATGTCATATTTCAGGACCCGGCGTTGGAATCGAGGCGGAGAAACGAGTTCTGGGTCGAAAGGAGCCGAGTTGGGACTAACTGGGCTGCAGAAGGAAAATACCCGGTCAGGTGGTCAAATACCCGACCGGGTATTTATCATTTTGGGCGCCCGTGAGAAACAGAAGGGGGCCCGGGCAGGAGGCTTAAATCCCCGGTCGGGGATTATTGGAGCAGACCGGGGATTTTTCCCCTGACCAAAACGCACGTTTTAACAATACCCGGTCGAGACCCGAAATACCCGATCGGGTATTTCGACCGGGTATCGCGACAGGCAGCAGATTTAAGGGAAAGGAAGGCCAAAATTCAAGGGTTCGGAGTTTTAGAGAGACAGAGCGATTCCTAGAGAGAGAAAGCGACGAACCAGAGTTCCCAAGTGCCATAGCTTGATCTTCATCACCATTGGAGCCCGGCTTGAGCTTGGAGAAGTGCCGATTAACGTCCAGAAGCAGAAATCCATCTTCACAGTATGATTTCCGTGTCTGAATCTGTTTTTGTTTCTTTCTCCATGGAGTAGTTTCTCCATTCATCTAGGTATGGAGAACCCTAGATTTGTATGCTAGGTCTGATTGTATGAACCCAAGTACAGAGTTTATGAATTCATTATGTTCGATTGAGGTTTGAATGATTGAATGACTTGAATCCTGATCAAATTCCTGTTGTTTCTGCTTTGACCTAGAATGAGAATATCTGCCTAGGTTGATAGAGTATCCTTAGTTGAAGGTAGTGAATTGGTGACTTTAGTCGAGGAGCCAATTCGCTATTCTGTACCGAATTCAATTCGGTAGTGGAGGTTTGGTTCGTTGGGGCCTCAATCTGTTTACTCCGGTGGAGGTTAGTCGCGCGCTAGAGACTCAGATTGAGAGGGTCTGGAGACCTTTAGTCGAGACTTCAGACTGTTTAAGAACCTTCCGCAGTATAACTTTCATGAAAACTGAACTTGGTAAATTGCAATCCGGCTTAACTGCAGTCTAGGGGGAACCATATCCGGGTGACCTCTCTTGACTTGAAAACAACCGTTTAACTTGCTTTGCGTTTTTGTTTGTTTGAATCTGCACTAAAATTTCACTGCTAGATAACGAGAATTCACCGAGTAGTCATCAAATCTAGGACCCGGGTTGACAATAAAACCCAAACCCGCTATACTACGCTTTAGGAAGTGGTTACACTTGGCCATTTTCTAGAGTGACAGTAGGAGTGAGTCAAGTTTTTGGTGCCGTTGCCGGGGACGGCTAGGTTGTTGAAGAAAAGTGATTTCTGTTACTTTAGCATTTTCATTTTCGCATTGAGTGTTTGTTCTTTCCCACTTGTGCCTTCACGGGTTTGCATTGCTTGATTGTGTGCAGATAGTGCATGACCCGTAGCCATTCGGGAGGTTTACTGCCGTTGGATCCAGAGATTGAACGCACCTGCAACCAACTTCGGAGACAACAACGAGCTAGACTGGCTACGGTGGAGCGCATAGACGGCCAATTGAGCAGCGAGTCCGAGGATGAGTAGGAGATGGAAGGCGATCACAACCCACCTCCGGCGAACCAGCTCCTGGGGAACGACCCCAATCCCCAGGGAGCTGGGGTTCATCATCATCCACCACCACCGGGTCCCACCTTGGAGTACTACTACACTCCACGGATTGCTGACATCCGCCCGGTCATCCTCTATCCGCCCATTCCAGCAAACAACTTCGAGATCAAGCCATGCTGGATTCAACTCATTACATCCTCTATCCAGTTCCATGGCTTGAAGGATGAGGAGGCCCGGGTGCATCTTTCCCGTTTTCTGCAGCTGACGAACGGGTTCAAGCTGAACGGTGTCCCGGATGACGCAATCCGCCTTCACCTATTCCCCCATTCTCTGGCGGGGAATGCTAAGAGGTGGTTGAAGACCCAGCCCCCACTGTCCATCACTTCTTGGGACGATCTGGCAGACAAGTTCGTGCACAGGTACTATCCGGCATCGAAGACCACAAAGATTCAGCGGGAGATCACTCACTTCCGCCAAGAGCCAGACGAGTCACTTCGTGATGCATGGGAGCGGTACATGGGATATTTCTGGCAGTGTCCCCATCATGGCTTCAGTGATGCATTTACAGTGGGGAACTTCTACAGTGCCCTCACCCCAGACAGCCAGAGGGTGATTGAGTCTCTATGCCCAGGAGGGGATGTTCTCACTAAGACTCCACCCGAGCTGAACCAAATGATTAGTACCTTGGCTGCCCGAGATCATTCCTGAAGGCAGAACAGCAGAGGAAAAAATTCCCGGGACCGGGGTGTGCACGCTATGGAGGCCAGGTCTGGGTTAGAGCAGCAGGTAGCTGAGTTGGTGCAGACATTGAAGCAGCCCAACAGTCTCCTTCCGGGCCGAGGTACAGCTCCGCCTCCAGTAGCTCAGTGTTAGTGGTGTGAGAGCCCGAATCACCTGGTGGAGGACTGTCAGGCCATGAGGGAGTCCTCTACTCCCCAAGAACAGGTGGACTTCATCGCCAATGCTCGGCGCCTGGACCCATATAGCAATACCTACAATGAGGGGTGGCGCCAGCATCCCAACTTCGCCTGGAACAGCAACACCACAAAACCCCCTGGTTTCCCAGCACCAGCGGGTGGTTTTCAGCAGAGACAGCCCTTCCAGGCTAGGCAGAGGCCACCACCACAGCAGCAACCCTACCTGCCTAGACAGGGGCAGCCATTCCAGCAGCCCCAGCGTCAGTATACCGAGCCAGCACCAGCCCCAGCTCCCGATAACCAGATGACCGATCTGAAGAATATTTTGGCGGCATTCATGACCACCAGCCAGGCGAATTTCACGAGGGTGGACCAGAGCATAGCCTCTCTGGAGGCAGGACAGAGGAACCAGGGTGCTATTCTGCAAGATTTACAGCACCAAGTCGGTGTCCTAGCGCGCCAACTTACTGCCCGGGCCCCGGGGACTCTACCTGCCACCACCATCCCCAATCCACGGGAGCCGCACGAGCAGCTGGATGCCATCTTCACCAGGAGTGGCAGGCCCACATCGGCTGATCCTGCCCCAACCAGGCAGGAGGAACCACTACCTGCTTCAGCACTTCCAGCCGATGATACAAAAGTGCGGGTGGAGAAGGAAGCCCCTACTCCCAAACCACAACCAGTGGTTAAGGAGCACGTACCTCAGCTTCCCTTCCCCACTCGCCTACACAAAGACAAGCTGGAGACTGAGTTTGCCAAGTTTATGGCAATGTTGAAGCAGCTCAACATCAGCATACCGTTTGTAGAGGCACTGTCGAAGATGCCCAAGTACGCAAAGTTCATGAAAGACCTCCTCACCAACAAGAAGAAACTTGGGGATCTCTCGATAGTGCTG